AAAATGGATGGATGGATGGATGGATGGATGGATGGATGGATGGATGGATGGATGGATGGATGGATGGATGGATGGATGGATGGATGGATGGATTGATGGATGAAACAAAGACTGAAAAATATAAAGGGGTCTGAATACTTTGCGTACCCACTGTATACAGAGCCTTGCCACTGTACCTTGGTGAGTGTGGTTGATTTTAGCAAATAATAAAAGAATCTAATGTCAGAGGCAATAGAAACTGGATCCAGGTGTGCAACATTAGCGGTTAGCTTGTTGGTCTCTAAAGGCTACGTCTGGCTGCTGATTTTTTCTGTTAATATAGAGATTATTTTCAACCCAGTATAATAGCATTTAAAACATAGTTTTCATGGAGAGAGATATATTTCTAAAATTGGTTTGTGGCTCAGTGGTTTAATCTCTCTCTGTTTATTAGCTTGTTTCTCAGCAATGCTTCAATTTAATTTGAGATTTATTTAGTGCTGGTTTCATGTGGCTGTGGAGACAGAAGCGTTGCTCATCAGTTGCTATTGGACCATGTATTTAGGTTTTTAAATCTTTTATTTCATCGGCTATAACATGAGTGGGTTTTTTGCACATTTAAAAAATGTCTGTGCTGCTTGTATCCTAGATCCTACAGTTTAATCTACTATGCCACATTGCTATGTTCTTTGTCAGTGATGCTAACTTCATCACTGTTGAGTAATTATGACAAAGTAACTTAAAAGATAACCGTGGATTACCTTAGAAAGTGTGAGTAGGCAATTTCCCAAATACCCCTAAAAATGCTACATGGGGCTTAAAGGGTTAAAGCCGCCTCATCTAATGTATCACCTTAACATAGTGGACATAAAAACAAAATAAAAGGCAAGAAGCCTGAGGACTGCTGGTTCTATATAACGCCCCCTACTGGTATTCTAGCAGCATGCAGCTCTTTGAAGGCTCTTCCTTCCTGTTGCTGTGGGAACCCTGAGGAAATCTATTGAATGGTGTTAGAAGGCTAACAAGCTTCTGAGTGGTGCGCTAAATAAACCAACAGAGTGCTGCTGATCTTGCCCTAAATCAGATTCAGTAATTGCTGCTGATCGTATCTATTTTGTTTCTATTTGGACACTGAAGCAGAGGAATCAGATTGGAGCAGATCCTCCACAAAGGGTGAACATAAACAGGTGTGTTTAGTAAACCATTTTCATTGGGGTGCTGCACCTACTTGTTGAAGAGATTCAGGCCGATACGATAGTGTCTTTTACGGATGATGTCATTGCTGAAGGCAGGGGAGTCCCAGCTGTTCCGGGTCTCCTTGTGGTACGTCTGCTTGCTGAGTGTCTGCTCCCTCAGGCTGTCCCTGGACGACGACTCGGAGCTGCAGTTGATGGTATCGTTGGAGTTGGACGTGCTGTTTATGCTGTCATTGTCGCCATCAGAGAAATCAGACTCAGACTTGCTGTGGCGGTTGGCTGTGCCGTTGATAGCCAGGTGAGCCTCGAGCTGTCGGGGCCAGTGCCGGGAGACATCGTCTTCCCTGGAGGGGTCCCTGGGAGGTGGGCCGTGGCCGGCGTGTTTGGGGCTGACCTGCTGGTTTCCGGGGCTCCGATCATAGACGCTCTGCCTCTTCAAAGAGCTGCGGTCTGAGCGATCGCTCAGTTCCACCGAGCTGTCGCTGGGAGGCTCTATGGTCAGTAGGGGCAGGTGGTCGACGCGCTGATGCTGCTCTTGGCGTTCCAGAGAGGGTGTGCTGCGACAGCTGGTGTCTGTGTCCCCTTTGCCATCCTTGTGAGCCAATGACCAGTAGTCCTGTGGGGAGCTGGGGGAGCGCTGCCGCAGGTCGGACTCTGCACTGGAGGGTCTGCCTACGGACCGAGACATGGGTAGAGGGGGGGACAGTTCTTCTTCATCAATGTAGAGGGTGACGTCGCTATAGGACGCTGTCATCTCGTCTAGTTTACGTTGGTCTGGAGATGGGACTTGGCCACTGAATTCTCTGCCTCTTCCTTGCTCCAGTGGCCTGTCTTCTCCATGCAGGCTGCGGCAGTTCAGTGCATCATCGATGGACTCTGCCAGAGACTTGACCTGCCTGGAGAAGGCATCCTCCAGCTCTGTGATGGCGTCTGTGAAGTCGCTCTGTGCTCTTGGTGCCGTCGTTTGGATGCCTCTTTCTCCGCCACGTTCAGATTGAACCAGGGCACCTATTTTAGTGCCATCATCTGATAAAGAGACCTGCTTTCCCTCGAAGTAGGAGCTGTGGACTTTTTCGGGTCCTTCAAAGGACAGCTGCATTCTCATGTTGGACAGAACAATCCGCCTGGACATCCGATTTTCAGACATGGAACTCCTGAGACGCTCAAAGTTCTTATTCATCTGGTACTGGCGGAAGGCAGTCTGGATGGTGCGTGCCGCATGTCTGGTTATGAAACGCCCACCATATTTGCGTTCTAGCATCTCCACCTGCAAAGACAAAAAAGGAAATTGATTGGTTGGCTGTATCCCCTATAATCCAGTTCTAAGCAAACAGCCGAGGGAAGAAATTCCAGCATCAAGAAGCTCCCGTCTCCATCTGAATCAAAGTCCAAACTAACCCTTTAATCTTGATCCTTCAATAGCTCACTGAATCGGAGCAACAGCAGTTTTATCATAGTTTTTAAAACATTTTCATAGATTTTTTTTTGTTTTGTTTTGTTTAACCTTACCTGACTTAATAAAAGGTTATGGCCAGTGATTACTTTGACGCTTCCAGTAAATGTTG